GTCGGGGGTTCCCCTATACAAAGAGTCTGTTTTGATGTGTTCATTGTACTCTCAAAGAAACTTGTTCTGTCTGCTTTATAAACATTTTCCTGACCTTTAACAAACCAGAATCTTAGAGGTCATCACAAGCACCTTCTCTGGTGTCAGGAATTGACAACTTTGAATATTCACAAGCAATTTTTTGTTCAAATTTCCAGACATTTCCGTTGGGTTTTATGCTGTTAAGATTTAAAATAAAGATAAAAGGCTAATGCAGGAGCCATCCTAGCTTAAATGTAGATTCATCTGATAGATGGGAGTGATATTTCAAAGAATCTATATGATCCATTGAAGAGTTCTAAAATCATATATGTCAACAGTATTGAACAAAAGCTAACAGTGGAGGACAATATGGTTAGATAATTTTGGCAAAGGTATGTCCTAGAACATTTAGCTATTAGAAGAAATGACAGTTTGTGGCATATAAAAGCTCGATCAAACAAATGCTTTAGTATTCTCTCCCGGGAAACTTTTTTAAAAAGAACACTTTCAACACTTAAAAGGTAAAGGAATTTTGAATCACCGGCAAAAACTTAGGATGAACAGAGACAGCTACTAGTTGTTTATCTGAGCATTAGTCTTCTCAGTAATCTAGCAACTCATGTGACAATTATATAATTGCTGGTTTGACAGAAATTAGAGTTTTTCAGGAACTTTGTGAAGAATGATTCGGACCTATTGGCTCACATATGCTGTAATCTCTCCTTTGGAATCATAGAGGGCTGATGTGGGCTGGTAGAGTTGCAATATATCATATGCTGACCAAAGTCTTTTCTTTTCCTTAAGGGGGGGTGGAATCATTCTGCATAATGAGCCCTTCTAGAGCAGGAGATTGCATCCATTACAGCCTTTATAAACTGATGACTCATTTGCTCCAGCTCCTTTAAAAGGAAGGCACACACTCCCTTTAAGTGGGACTTTCAGAGTACATAACCTTGAAGGACACTTTTTTTGGCTTTTTAATGCTTTTATTTCAATAATAATAAAATGCTGTTGAAATAAATAAAAATTTGAAAAACACTGTGGAAGACTTAAGTATTAAAAAGCACTCTAAATTGGCCACATTTTTTTCCATGTTTAGGGACTCAGTTATTACTGGAACACATTTTTTTTTGTGAACAATTTCCTTGATTCTTCATTTATTTTTCTAGAACTGGAAGCTTTTGTGGCCTAAGGCAACTTAACCTTAGGCCAAACGTGCTAAAAATAGCCTAGGGGAGGGTGTTGACCTTTCTAGACCAGATAACTTTTTTCAAAACCAGCTTTAATAGCTTTACTCTTCTATATAATTCATTTTTCTTGCTCTCTTCTTATGATGACTATTTAACTGTTATCTCTACTACTTTGCCCAGAAAAGAAATAAATATATGTTGTCCAAATCAAGGAATATACTATATATAATGTAATATAATATATATGGGATACTGAATAGATTTTAGAACATGGGATATCTATATAGGATATATATGGGGAATATATCTATATATGTACAACTTATAACTTTTCTCTAAAATTGTTGCTTTTAGCCATAAGCCTAAATCTCATGGGCTCCAAATGTCATGTTCAGTCATTCATCCCAAAACACCAAGTCAAGAATCTAGCAGTGGTAATGGGTAGAGGGAGAGATTTATTTAACACATCATGGGCACTTCACAGGGAAGAAAAAGGCAAGGTATTCATTTTAACCCATCTCCACCATACATACATGTACTTTAGTTTTAAAATAGAGGAAGAATTGGGGGCAGGGAAGAGAGGTATGCATAGTTATTAAACAACCCTGGTCTCAGATATGTTCCTGTGGTCAGAAACACCATATTTGTGGCTTATAAGTTGTGTTGTTGCTCTTTACCTCAGGGTTGTCTAGGTAGGCCTTAGTACATTAAGAAAGCCATTGAAACCAGACAAGGAGTAGTTTTATCTTAGTCACAGGGTATTTGACCATCAGCTCTATTCTTCCTACATTCCAAGATAGCTCCAATGCAATAGCAGGACAGAATGGCACAGAGCAAAGAACATAGATACTAAATGGAGACCTGGATGCCAAGCTTTTGTTCTACTTTCAGTTAACATGTGGGCTCAAGTAACAAGTTAGTGCTTTTCAGCAAAAGTGGCTTTTAAGTATCTGTTCTATCTCTACTACTTATAAACGCAACTCTTCAGAGCATAGTCAAGAGAATAAATAAGAATGATGCAAATAAAAGAAAAATAAATAAAAGTAGCTAAAGACCTTGAATTTGGTAACATAAATATTCATCAGGGTCAGGATGACAATAACCAACCAAGATTTGAAGGCTGCCTTGGGAAAAAGTGATTAAAAGTATAGAAGTTGAGCCAATGGGCAAAGGGCCATTGAAATGCAGACACTTTTTAACAGAGTTTTCCAAGGATAGAATAGGCTTCTTTGAGAGGGAATGCAATCCAAAATTAACTGATGGACCACTTAGGAAGATGTTATGGAATAAGGAATAGTTAAATTCCATGAAATTTAAGTTGCTTCCAATTCTGAGAGGCTATTTCTGTCCTTCCTGTATTTGTCTATTTCTTTCCTTCAAATTCCTCTGTTGATTAACTTTATATTAGGCTACCAATATGAGTTTTGCTAGGTACTGATAACCATGCCCCATTACTCACATTCCAAAGTAATATACCATTTTAATATTGTAGTCACCTTGACAGAAGAGGAGTCTGTTTGAACAGCTCTCAGTAACATTATTCAAAGGGAATCTATTTCTCAATAAAGTAAGCAGAACAGCCTTAAATGTTCTCTTTTGTCTCAAACCTCAAAGAGTCTAGGATTAAACATGTGCCTTGAAGTGAAAATTATTGTAAATTTGCTGAGTAAGAGAACACCAAGTGTACTTACTCTGAAGACTAGAATGTTTGTCTTGAGCATAATGTAGACAAAATATATTTCTGCCTTTTAATGTATATGAATAATCTCACTAACTCAAAGACATGGTTCACATTTTATATTCTTCTTTAATTTCAAACAATGCAGCATACATTTATGTGAATATTATATATTTATATATATAAAGTGATGAAAAGTGATGAGGTTGCTTTGTAGTTGGAGTTATTGTGGCAAATATTACTCAGTCACAACTTTCCTTGTATAGGTAAATTGTTGATCATCATGGGAGGACATGACATGTAAAAAAGCTATGTAGGGTAGATGCAGGGCTAGATGCATAATTCAAGTGGTAGAATGCCATCTGAGCAAGAAAGCTCAGGCTAGTGTGAAGCCCTGAGTTCAAACACCAGCACAATAAAGCAACTTAAAAGATGCTTTTGCTAGCCCTGTAAATTAACTAAAAGCCCTCCAACCTTATATTTGTGCCATTTGATCTGAGCTATTCTTTGTTGCAGTCCCTTTGCAATCACCTTGGACTCCAGGAAAGAGAAGATTCACTGATAAGTGTTCTGTGTGAAAGGCATACTTCTCAAACAGGCAATATCTTGTTCTTATTCTCTTAAAGGAAACAGATAAAAATTCAGCAGATTGCCCACCAGGCAACTTGGTCCTCCTTAGTCCCAATGGTACCATGATAATAATTTCTCCAGAACTCCTTCAGAGACAAAGACCAAAGCAATGATCAACCAGGCCATATTTGTGACTTGAGACTGTTTTAACTGTGTGTACTTTTCTCAAACCCTGCTCCCAATTCTCCCTATTTAACTTGAAGCTAACGTCTATAGTTCTGAAGAAGAGATACTGAAGTGTTGCCTTCCCATAGCTTCCATGAAATAAATCCCCTTTCTGTGCCTTTCACAGGACTTTATTTGGCTCATAGAAGTAGTCAGACCTAACTTGGGACTCTTGTAATATGGGGGTCTATAAACCCAGTTCAGTACTACTAAAGAAAAACTATGCAATAAAAAAAATTTCCAGCAATGACAAAATACTTCAATTAAAACCATGAAAATATTTCAGTAAAACCTAATGTTTATTTCTAATAACAGTTCTAAATAACATTTTCTTGAACAATTCCTAGGTATAGATAGTATGTCATGCATTCCATGTTTATTATCTTCTCTTATCTTTCTAACACATTACAGAGTTGATCATATTTTTTTCCTCATTCCATTATCACAAGCCTAACACTAAAAGAAAGATAAACATGTCATTCAGATTCTATTTGTCATGAAAGCAGAGCAAGGACTCCAAATTTGACTCTAGAATTTGAGCTAGTCACTCAACTATGGTGGTGTCAGCCTTTATAACAATAGCTGCCTCTTTGTTGAATTGTCCTTTGACTTTTTCTGAATTGTTCTTTCAATTTCTTTCCCTTTTCCAAACATTCTAAATGTCAAAGAAAATTCACATCTAAAATACTAAGATGTTAACTGCAAATAATCTTCATATTTATATTTATGATCTTTATATATTTATATTTAGCATTTCTCTGACTCCCAGATAGCATCAAAATGTGCAATGTCCCTTCCTATTCTAACTCAGTGCATTAAGTACCATAAAAATGTATAATGCTATGAGGATTAACTTGCAGGAATTTCTTTTTATCTAAATGATTAGAGGAATTAACCCTGAGGGGTCAGGGTTGGCTGTGTTTTGGCCAGATGCTAAAAACAAAAATGACTCAAGCTCTGGAGGATGAAAGCCTTCCCTAGCATATAGCATAATGTTCTGCCCAGTGTCCCCTATTCCTCCTTTTCTGCCAAAGGCCCACAGAAGCCCATTTCTATACCTGAATGCCATTTGGGAAACAGTTACCTCTCTTCTTAGGGTGTTGGCTCTTAAGTAAGCCCAATTTCCTACTACCAGCTTCCATCTCTGAGTATTAGTTTTGGAATAGTGAATAGCAGATGGACTTGGGTCTAATAATACTTGATCATCTTAAGGCTAGTGTGATTATTTTATTTAGGATAATTTTGCATAGAAAAACAATTTAATTCACTGCACATTCCGTGTATCACTCCTGCAGAGAGAGTTAAATTACACTCACCTCGTTTATGAAGTAGAACACTGGCATGTCGACGTCCATTTCCATTTTCAACATAGCAGGAGTAATTTCCCAAGTCACCTTCTTCCACAGAATCGACAATTAATGAGATAGAAACTTCCTGTTCTCCAAGATGTTCCTTAAGAATTCTAAAACATAAAGCAAAACGAAACAAAAAACCCCACAAAAACATACACATACACATACAGGAAAAAGAAGGAAATGAAGATGAATCTGGATCTGATGCAAACATACCTATAGTGTCTGTGTTGAAAATTTGACTATGGATTGATGATATGTTAATTAAATTATATGGTGCCCTTTCCTTCTTCATTTCTAATAAGGAAGCTTGTCTTTGTAGATGCTAATGAAGTTGCAGTTAATTATCTCTCTTAGCAGGACAATCATACTGTCATAATAAAGAGGTGAGAGAGACCTTGAAGAAAAGTTTACAAATTGCTTTTCCTTTAAGAAGAAATATGATGTAAAGGTGAGACAAGAAATTCTAGTCTTGGGTTGGAGGCCTAATTATATATCAGGTTAATTTTAAAAGAGAACTAAAGAAAGAAAAGAAAAATTCTGAGCTATTTTGACATTTCAGTTCAAACCTCCAGCCTGACTTTTGTTAATGATACAAACCAGCTGCCTCATTTTAAAGAAATATGAAATTATAAACCTGTAGACTGAAAGTACTGATAAGTATTTAATTCTGACATTTAAAATTAATGGTAAATGTTCACTAATCTCACTGTCAAAGGTTTTAGTTAATCTCAGCACAAATGGGAACCTTTTAAAATTAGGACTTCCTTTCCAGCTCCCAGCGTTTCCACCTTCTCCTTCCCACCTGTTGATAACTCATCTTTGTGCAATTTTTCTAATGCAGAGTCAAAGAAATATCTTCTAGAGCCTTACCCAAGAACACCCCAAAACAAATACAGTAATGGAAGGTTTTTGGACTTCTTCAATTGAAAAAATTTAAAGAATATGGAGAGAAAGTAAGAGTGAAGTCTTAAAAATGAAAAATGGAAGAATATTTTTTAGTACATATTAGAGAATTGCCTCTCTTGACTTTCCAGGATCCAATTTGGAGCATTCTAAAGAGATCTGTGTGTTTACCATGGGAAAGAAGATTCTCAGTAGAGATGATCTTATGTGACAGTTTTATATGGTTTTACTTTTTACTGAAAAAAGTTTTCCTTATACCTTTGATGAAGTTTCAAAACTTTTGACATTTAAAAAGAAAACCATGGTTTAAATTCTTATATACAGCCAGAAGGTGCAACTTTTAGATAGAGAAGGGCTTATGAATAACCATCTTTTATTTGGTTCAAATTTAGTTATTATTGTTTGTTTACATTTTGATTAAAAAGAAGTAAATTGTGCCTACACACAATTTGAGTCTACATAATTAAAAGTGAATGCATGTGTAAATATGTGGAAAAATAGAAGTTTATGTAGTGTGGCATCAAAATGTATAATATGTTTAATGTTTATACACTTGATGTCATTATTTCTCCTTCTCCCCTTCTCTCTCCCACTCCTCTTGCTGCTGTCCTGGGCGCTGTCCATAGCTCAGGGCCTGGACACTGTCCCTGACCTTTTACTTTTTTCTTCAATGCTACTGCTTTACCACTTGAGCCACAGCTCCAGTTTTGGAGTTTTGGTGGTTAATCAGGTCAGAGTCTCATGGACTTTCTTCCTTGATTCGCTTGGAATTGTGATTCTCAGATCTCAGCTTCCTGAGTAGCTAGGATTACAGGTGTGAGCCACCAGCACTCAGCCATTTCTACTACCTAAAATTTAGATTTTAAAGTCAAACTAAAAAGATGATAATATTGTATATCATTTATCATTCCATTGCATGCTTTATATACCACTTGGTAGGTTCAATATGTAAAGCCATAAAAGGGAAAATAGAGATTGTATTTGGCTGAATCCACATAGAAACTTGCCAATATTTAATATCAACAATTAAAAAATAAGGCAAGAAAGAAAATCACCCAAGCACAAACCAAAGTAAAAAGCACACTAATTTTTCCAAATATAGAATGTAATTCTACATTTTGTATATTCTACCATATTTTGGTCTCATAGTTACTATATTACTAGTGATATAATCCTTTTAAAAATTCTCTTAAATTCTGTGCAAATGGCATTCATATTTTACAACTTTATAACCTCCTAACAGTGCTTTGCTTTTTTTGGCATTCAATACTACAGTATTTTATTCTGATGATCAAAAATAAAAATCATTTTTGTTTTAACTCACTTTTTATTTGCTAACAGAACAAATGTTAACTTGACTGTATAAGTAAAAAAGGGAAAAAAACTATTTTACCTAATGTCACTTTCCCAAACTCGATTTTCATCCAGATCTTCAATAAATTTCTCTCCTTTCATCCAGTAGATTAAAGGACTGACATCTCCACTGTACCCAAAGAAAGCTTTGCAGGTTAGATTAGCTGAATCACCTGAGGAGAGAAGTGAGGAAAGTATGCTATGACACCATTGGTATACACATATTTGGGGAAGTTATCATTTTCATCATTTCATTCATTTAATAAATATCTTTCTAAACGAACATAATTTTCAGGTATTTTTCATCTTTCTCAAATTTATACAGTGGTTAGTTGTGCTGGTTCTGGGTTTGAACTCAGCGCCTGGAGCTCTTTTGGTATTTTTGCTCAAGGATGGTGTTCTACCACTTGAGATACACCTCCATTTCCCAGGTTTTGTTAATTGATTGGAGATAAGAGTATCATGGATTTGTCTGATTCGTTTGGCTTTGAATAATGATTCTCAAATGTCAACCTCCTGAGTAGTTAGGATTACAGGCTTGAGCCACCAGTGCCCCCCAAGCCCAAGTATGTGTTTTTTTACCTTATGACTTGTTTAATGAAATGGGGGTTACTTATAACATTTTGGACAAGAACCAGTCAATTATCTTATAGAATATTCTTCCAACTTAATTTACCTGGCATTTTCTCAGGATGAGACTGAAGTTATCGATTATTAGGAAATGTACTACAAATATGATAGGTCCTTCTCAAGGAATGACACCTCAAGACATGATATCACAAGACATAAATTACTGAGTTATTTCTGAGCCTTGAATATGGGAAATAGAGCAAAAAATTTAATATTATGTTTCAAGACCAGTAGCTGGTGCCCAGGTTTGATTCTCTTCCACCTTCTCTCTGCAGTCTAGCAAAAAATCAGTCATTTAGCTTTACAATTCATTTCAATACTTATCTAATTTTTAATATTTTCTTCCAACTTCATTTGACCTTGCATTGATGTGTACCTTGCCTTCTCAAATCATATGAGCAAACATTTTTTCTAAAACATGTTTATTCTTACATTTGTGTCAGAGTCATGATTGTACTTTTTCTGAAAATTATCTGCTCACAGCTATATGATGCTTAATTCCTGATCATCATTACCATTACAAAAACCAACATTTATAAACACTGGCTCTTATAAACAATAAGACTCTGACTGTTGAGTTACTGAAACATTTTATGGATAATCTCCTGATTGCTCTTTTGTTTCCCCAAATTTAAGAACCAGCAATAAAATTTTATGTATGTTCAGTTTAAGTAAAAACTAACTTGAAGCTGGGTGTTGATGGCTCACGACTGTAATCCTAACTACTCAGGAGGCTGAGATTTGAGGATGGTGGTTCAAAGCCAGCCCGGGAAGGAAAGGCTGTGAAAATCTTATCTCCAATAAACCACCAGAAAATCAGAAGTGGCACTGTGGCTCAAGTGGTAGAGTGCTTGCCTTGAGCTGAAGAGCTCAAGGACAGCACCCAGGCCCAGAAATCAAGCGCCATGGCTGACAGAAAAACAAACAAACAAACAACAACAACAACAACAAAATAACTTGATGTTAAGAGCAACTATCTATTTTTTTCTTTACTCAAACCCAGTTTCTGTTACACAAATGATAGTGTCAATGCTATATGCTACACTTAACTATAGGCACAGGAAATTAGCATTAGAATTCTGTAACTACAGAGAAGAGATGCTTTTATTTAATATTCTCAATTTCATTGCTTTGTTTCCTTCAAATACTAAATAACAGGCAAATTTAAGCTATGACTTAGGTAGCCAAGCAGATACATCAACTATATCAGTCAATCAGGGATGGAGTCTGGAAGATAATGGTATTCTTGATGCCTCAAGTTGGTATCTGTAAAAGCACCAGTAAATTGCACTAAATGCTTCTGCCACCTTTTTGGTAGAAAGGTGCACTGTCAGCTCAATCTTACCAGGTCCACAAAGAAGCACTAAAATTGATCATAAAAAAATCATTTGCTACCTAAAATGAGAACAATGCTTGTCACACTGCAGGCTTTCAATGTGAGGTCTTAGAAGAAAAAAATCATACATTTTCCCTTCAACCAATGTATGCCAATCAGCTAAGTAGGGATATTTGTTATTTAGGGCAAGTTTCTTCTAATTAGGTACTATTTAGCCATTTCTAAAACTGCTGAGATCAAAATCTCTCTCCACTAGAGGACACTCTTGAACTTAGTGGAAAAAAATAACAGCTCTTTTTTTTTAATTAAAAGAAAATTTCTCCCCTAATTAAAAAGCATCAGCATCCACAGATCTTACTTGTTGCAATTAGAAAATAGTGAGCATATTTTCCTAAATAAGATGTTGAGTAGTTGGGCTATTTTAATTTCACTTGCATCATTAATCATGTATATTAAAGTTACTCTATGGTCGTGGAAAAGACAAATGTATTGCCAGAGACTCCCATTTAAGAGAAAAGCAAAGTTGTCCACAAAACATATTTAAGTTTTGTCATTAGTTACATTGAATGGCTCCTTTTCCAGAAAGCTGTATTTTAAAGTATGAATAAGAAACTTTCACTCTTACGCCTGCAACATGCATGCACATTAATGCACACACACACACACACACACACACACACACACACACACACACTAGTTAAGTTAATAAAGTTCCCTTGGAACTAGCTCTCTAGATATTTTACCTAAATAATCACTAGGGCATATAGCAGGAAATAGTTGCCAGTAGCAAGCATGTGATAGTTCTTCTGAAATCAGAGATTTATCTAAGAGCACTGAAGAAAGGAAAAGTAATGGAAGGGATAGGTTATATTAAGCTCATAATTGAGAATGTCCTGAGTAGAATTCTAGGTGCTCAGCAAATAGAGGAAAGAACTGACAAATGGGATTACATCAAACCAAAAACTTTCTGCAGAGCAAAGGATGTAGTTAATAAGCTAAAAAGACATCCTACAGAATGAGAGAGGATATTTGCCAGCTCTATGTTTGATAAAAACCTAATATCTAGAATATTAGGAGCTTAAGAAACTAACCACTCCCCAAATCAATAACTCAGTTGGTGAAGGAGCTAAATAAAGGCTTCTCGGAAGAGGAAGAGGTTAAAAAAAAAAGCCCAATAAACACATCACGGAATGTACATCATCTCTGGCTATAAAGGAAATTCAGATCCAAATAGCACTGAGATTCTATCTTATCCAAGTAAGAATGGCCATCATGAAGAACATAAATGGCATATTCTAGTTATAACAAATGGGGGAAATCATGCAACCTGCATTTCTTAGGGCCTGGCTTGCTAAGCCTAATATAATTTTTGCCAGGTCTTTCCATTATTTCTGATGGAAACATAGAATTCCTCTGTGTGTAGATAACATGTTTTCTTGATCCACATTCATCTACTGAGGAGCAAATGGGTTGGTCCCATATTTTAGATCAGTGGAATGGAAAGGGAATCTCAGAAACAGCAAGACAAAGGATGAACTAATGTAACAATGATACACGCTAGACACTATGTTGTAAATGAACTATACAGCTTGCGGGCTGAGGGGAGTGGAGAGGTGAATGTGTGAGAAAATGAGTGAGGGGGCAACAGTGTTCAAATAGAAATGTACTCATTACCTTACTTATGTAACTGTAAACCCCCTGTTCATCACCATTACAATAAATAATAAAAATATGAATGGGAATAAATGGTATTGGGGTTGTAGGAAAAAGGAATTAAGTTAAACTCTTGGTGAGAATGTAAACTAGTGCAACCACCATGCAAGGCAATTTATAGATTCCTCACAAAACTAAACATGAAACTACCTTATGATTCAGCAATACCACTCTTGGGCATTTATCCCACATTACAGATCAGGGTAAAGTAAACCATGTTCATTGCTACACTATTCACCATAGCCAAGTTTCAGAAACAGCCCAGATATTGTACAATGGATAAATGGATCAAGAAAAGGGTATATATATATACATATACATATATATATATACATATATATATATACATATATATACATACACACACACACACACACACACACACACACACACACACACACACACATAGATCTGGAAAAATTATGTTAAGTGAAGTAAGTCAAGCTTAGAGATACAAAAGGCACATGTTTTCTCTCAAATATGGAAATTAGGTTTAAACTATAAATATATAAGAAAACCTACACAGGTTCATATGTATATAAAAACAAACAAATTGATCTGGAAGGTGGCTCAGTGGTACAGTGCTTGCCTTGCATGCACCAGGCCTTCGGTTCGATTCCTCAGTACGACATAAGCAGAAAAAGCTGGAAGTTGCACCACATAAGCAAAAAGAAAAAAGGCGGAAGTGGTGCTGTGGTAGTGCTGTGGCTCAAGTGGTAGAGCACTAGCCTTGAGCTGAATTGCTGAGGGACAACGCCCAGGCCCAGAGTTCAGGCCCCACGACTGACAAAACAAAACAAATTGTCTAAAGTATATATGCACAGGAGAAGATTCCAGAGGTTTAAATCCTTTGAACATCTAACTTACAGTTTAACAAAATGAATACCAGGAAGCTCATATGTGTTGCTGGGAGTGAGGAGGTCAAGGAGAGGAAGGGCAGACAAATAGAGGAAGAAGAGCTGGTGAATACAGTCAGAATATTCAATGTACATATGTGAAAATGTAACCTGGTAACTTGAGGGGATGGATGGGGTTGGGAAAGATGGGGAAGAAGGATGGAAAGGGTATCATTAATCATGATGCATTGTACTCATAGACTGACATGTTGAGTTGAAACTCCTTTGTACAACTACTTCAAGGTAATTTAATATTCTAAAAAAGAAAATACTATTTCTTCAAGATCCATCTGAATTGCAAAGGAACAAAATCCTCCCAAAACACAAGGTATGCACTTCCAAATTTGCTAACTGTATTTCAGCCCTTGTGTGAGTTTTCTTTATGAAAAAAGATTTTATATTATGTTACCACATGTTTCTACAGCATTTAAAAAACAAAGGTACATATTGGGAGACCAACAGCTTTTAAGAGGATTTAAGTGACCACAAAAAGAACCTATGGTTAGTGAGCGTGAGCTGTAATTATGAGCAATTGTCATTGTTAATAGTATTGCTATCATTATTGGACTTTTCTGTAAGGGATGGATTCCATGGAGTT